GAATTATACATTTATTTTCTAAAAGTACTAGTGACCTTGGACTGCCAAAATGACCTTGATTTAACGTCATGACACCCCCCTCCCCCTCCCCCATGGTCATACGAAAACTTTGTGTAAGTGTGAGGGAGGTGGGTGGGTATAATAATCCTACGTAAATGAGAAAAAGTACACATTACACGAGATCCCAGATATTCTTTCATATTCTTTAGGTTAAATACAAAGTAATCTCTCAAAGGATCTCTATACATCTGATGCAACAGTGTGAATAGTTATATGGCGGTATTCCTATAGTGCTGATATTCATGTTTGAAAGAAGTCCAAGAAAATTAGGGCGATAGAAATCTTGTTTTTCATCTAAAGGAGATGGGCGAACATAGCGTGCAGAAAGCCTATAGCTTCAGAAATTAAAAATAATGTTCAGTTTGTGAATTTAATATTTAGAATAAAGTTCTCATTATTGAAATTTATGAAATTGTGATAAACAAAACTTTTCTAAGGAAAATTTTCTCGGCAAAATTTATTCTTTTATTAAAAAAATTAATGTGGTATTCGTGGGGTTCGAACCCTAGCAATAAAAATCCTGAGTATCATTTTCTTTCGAGACTAGCACGCTAACCACTAGACTACACAAGTCCTGACGAAGAGTGGCATTTAAATCATGTTTGTGATATGAACCTTGACTTAAGAGCCCTCTATACACTGCATACTAAAGAGTTCTGATTTTGTGGTATTTTTATGCAAATAGAGTGAGCTGCCCTTTGATCAAGAATAAGATAAATTGAAATGTACAATTTATTACTTAATTTGTGATCAAATCAAGCATTCATAACACTTTTATAGGCCAAGATGAATAGATAGAACACTTCATTTGCAGGTATTTTGCCCACTTATGTAAACAACAGTGATTTATGTTCATCAGTACTTCATTGTCTTTGAACATTTTTCCTGGGGGTAAATGCAAGGCACCCTATGTTGAAAATGCGATAGATAAGCTCAATACTTACACCTTTACACACTATACTTTTCTCAATGTCCAAAAAATATTTTCCTCTAGTGTATAGAGGGTCCTTAATGGACTTCAAGTATCTCTCGAAAAGAAGCGAATGTTATGTCATAAAAGTATATTTTTAAGGTATAGTGGGTCATTGCTCCATATTTTTGGTAACCAAAAAATGTATATTTTTATGCAAACTTTGAGGATTAACTTTCAAAAAGGTGGAGCGAAGAACCACTCATATCGAAAAATAGTGCTATAGTATGCGAAAAGGCCCTTTTTTGCCCGCTTTAGTGTGTGTCTAATATTTCACAGGCAAATAATTTCAATCTTTGAGGGATTTTTGCAAATTGTAGATATTTTACATAAAGTATATTTTAATGTTAGACGAAATATCAAGGAAAATTTTGATATAATTGAAATTTAATTTTTCATCTTCATGTTTGTCACACTATAGGCTTATCGCTCGTCATGTTCACCCATGCCATCTCCTTTGTGTTTAATGGGTAAAAAGCTGGATGGTCATGGTCATTTTTAGACTATTTAATGGAAAAGAAGAGCTCTGTATAAAATTATATATAGTAAATGGCATTTAATATAATTTGTTTGTTTAACTCCTTTCGACAAATTTTCACTCATATTGAGACGCCACCACTTGCCAGTGGAGGGCTGTAAATTTAGACCTTACTGCCTTTAAGCAGTGAGGCATCTTTTTCGTGCCAGCACCTACTTCGACACGGGAACCGGTCTCCGCGTCCCGCAGTGGAATTTTGGAACTCCTAACTCCACGACTCTAGAGCAAACGGTAACGCTCTAACCACAGCGCCACGCGGGCGACCATTTAATATTTCTTTACTAGATGCATGCAAGTAGTAGTCTCTGGCTAGAAAAATCATATTGTTCAGATTGCTCTGTTGGGTAATTTGTGGATAATTTTTTGACAACACAGCCTCCTTAATGAAGTGCCCTTCATTACATGACTATCATAAATAAGCTGCCCTATCAGACCGGATCCAGGATTTTGCATTAAAGGAGGCACTATTAGATTGCGAGGGGTCTCGGTACCACCGACGTCCCCATTGGGTCAAGAACAGTGTTAGACTTAGGGCCTTGCGGGCGAAGCCCCCGTAAGCTCCTGGGAATCAGCAATTAGAGAACCTTATTTGACACATAAATGACTGATATTTTACCAGTATTACATCGATGTATGCCAGTGTAAACAATATCTAATTTTAGCTCACCTGAGCTGAAAGCTCAAGTGAGCTTTTCTGATCACCTGTTGTCCGTCCGTCCGTCTGTAAACTTTTCACATTTTCAACTTCTTCTCAAGAACCACTGGGCCAATTTTGACAAAAATTGGTACAAAGCATTCTTGGGTGAAGGGGAGTTTAAATTGTTAAACTGAAGTGCCAAGCCCTCTTACAAGGGGATATAATCAGGAAAAGACAAAAATAGGGTGGGGCCATTAAAAAATCTTCTTCTCAAGAACCACTGAGCCAGAAAAGCTGAAACTTACATGCATGGAAGCATCCTAGGGTAGTGTAGATTCTAAATTGTTCAAATCATGACCCCTGTGGATTGGGTGGAGCCACAATGGGGAATCAAAGTTTTACATTGAAATATATCGGAAAAATCTTCTTCTCAAGAACCACTGGGCCAGAAAAGCTTAGACTTACAAGGAAGCATCCTGGGGTAGTGAAGATTCTAAATTATTCAAATCATGACCCCCGGGGATAGGGTGGGGCCACAATACGCATTACAATCGGAAAATCTAGTGAAGAACAGCAGAGCCAACGTTACTCAGGTGAGCGTTGTGGCCCATGGGCCTCTTGTTTGTTTTGTTTTAGAGGGGTACGCTTGCCGAGACCCCCCTTCCCCGTCTGAATCCGCGCCTGGCTTTACCGAAAGTCGTCAATGACTGAGCCTTCTTTTGTTCTCCTCCTGGTTCACAATTTTTAGTCTCTATACTTTTCTTATAGACATGTAGCTGCAAGCTTTCAATCTTTTTGCTAAATAATACTGTATTTAACCCACTTATAATGATATCTTATTTGAAGTAAATATTCATCTTAAATGGTTCTTTTTTTATGACGAATCTTTGTACTGAATTCAGATTTGACCGAACTTAAATCTGAAGGCCTATATTGTAAAGTCTACATTAGGAGTTTGTCCACATGGACAGGTCGATGCCTGTGGATCGCTGAAAATCAATGAAGTAATATATCTGCGTGAAATTATCATTATTAAATCTGTTCTCATATTTTCCGATTTCCCCGAACATGCCTGTGATAACACAGCGGTGCCTGTTGCCCTTAACCCCGCCCATGTGGGTTTAATAACTGTTTTTGTTCCTTTTATTAGGAAAATCTCTTTAGTAACTCTTGATCACACCTTTTGCGAAAACAATTGTCGTTCTGAAAACGAGATCATTTTAGTGACTTCTTAAAAATGAAAACCTTTCTCAGCAAACATCCGAGGATGAGGGACTTCAAGTCTGTTCACATGAAGGACGAAGCTTACCACTGAGGTGAAATTTAAACAGTGGAGCTTCGTTAATCCGGACACCAATAATCCATACGCTTCAACTTCCGGACGAAATTTGTGTTTCAGTAATCCGGACGCTTCATTAATCCGGACGATTTGCTTGTGCACACAAACGTCCAGACTGTACATGTAATTGGTGTGAAAACGTATGAGGTACATTACTGTCTTTCACTAATTTACAATTTTCAATTGTTAATGAGTACAAGACAAACTATAATTAGTCATGTACTTATTAACAATTGAATTTGTAAATTTGTAAAAGACATTATGCACATGTATACTAGTATATAGGGCCATTTAAAACACCTTCGTTTTTAAGTGACAAAATATGGAATCTGATCAATGATGAGGTCGGCCAGGTGTCCATGTTCTTACAAGAAATAGGAATTTAACTCTTACAAATGAAGTAATTTTTTTCTGAAAAAAAAAAACCCGGAAACAAATAAAAGTGCAAGCATCCTCAGAAGATAGCGAAGCTAATTAAAAATTTGGCCCTGAAACCAGCTGTTAAGTTTTAAGCAGTACATAAGATATAAATCTGTAAAATTCCTCTTAGAACAAGTCAGCTGTCTGTCGTCAAATCGATATGCAAACTTTCTTTTATGAGTATAACAATTAAAATAGAAGTAAATATTCAGTTTAATTCTTCAAATTATGACGTTCAGGAAAAGGATAAGGTCAGATAAAAGTCCATGGATTATCTGTTAGAAAAAAAGGGTACCGATACCTACACTAAGATGTTTTGCAGTGTAAACTTTTTCTAACAGCTTCCTTATGAAGCCTGCATTTTCTAAGAATTTCAAGTTTTACTTTAGTCTGCAAATTTTAGGGAAAATGTCCTTCAGATCATCTATAAGACTACAAAATATCCAATTGATTCTAGGTTTTCTGAAAATAATTGCCTTTTAAGTTTGAGGAATGATTTAAGGGCACGTAATACAAACCAAAAATGGATGAATGGATATAGGTATCATTTTTGTACTTGCTTTTGGTGATAAATGATGCATATATCAAATCGATCTCTAAAATATTAAGAAATTGTAAGCTTTCTGTGATATTAGATTTCTAACTTTTGCATGCACCCTTTTAAAGCTATAAAAAAATTTACCACTTATTAGGTTATTACTGAGAAACTATAAAAGAAAAATGACACTTTAAACACTCGTTTTACTGATATAATCATAAATGTGGTTGTTATTTTTGTGATTTAAAAATGAAAGTATCATCTCTCCTTAAAGGGAAAAAAATCAGAGCTTGTTCAGATAAAAATTTGTTCACTCGGGTCATTATGTTATAAGTGTACCCCCCTCCGCCAAAAAAAAAAATAAATAAATAAAGGAGAACAAAAATGGGGGGGGGGGCTATAAAAGTGACGCATTTCTATGCTGTTTTATTCCTAATTTTTGTAAACCAGCAATCTGTCCTTTTTTTTCAATGAATATTTTTTTCTATCTGATTTCAGGAGGCTTACAAGTTCTGGTTGTGCTCACAAAATATTCCCGTGTATAATCGGCTCTCTCCCTCCTCATTACCTCCCTGTGATGATTTCTGCTCAGGAGTAGAAAAACAGTGTCCATTTCTCAAGCCTCTGACCGAGTCAACCTATGCAGGGGAACCTAGTTTTATATGCAAAGGTGGGTAACTGTCTGTACGCACTACCAACTCGTGATCGATCCAGCGGGCTGGCCATGGAACAGCTAGCATGGTTAAATCAAGTGAGAAATGATATTAAAGACATCTATACCTTAAAAAAAATTTAAAAAAAAAATAATTCTGACGTTGAGAAATTTATCTTTCATAAAGTGTTAATAATGAACTTATCTATTTGGTTTTCAACCAAGGTTACCTAGTATAAATTTACCCCCAGAAAAAAAAAATGTTCACAGACAATGAATTGTATATGAACAAAAGTCATTAATTCACTTTTAAAATTGGGGAATTTACATGCAAATAAAGTGTTCAATCTTTTCATCTTTGCCTAATAAAATGTGAACAATGCTTGAATTGATTACAGATTGAGTAATTCTTTAGATCAAAGGGTAGATTACTCTAACTGAATAAAAAATCGGAACTCTTTGGTGCAGTGTATAGAGGGTTCTTATGTATAAAGTGCTCTAGTATAAATCATTTTATGACTTATTTCATTTCAATACTGGAATCCCAAAAATCTTACATGTCTCTTCATCATACCCTGAATTCTAATCCAAAGTAAACCCTGACTCCTAATCCTAAACACCTTGGATTCTAATCCCGTAGATACCCACTGGCAGAATTTTCATTCCAGATATACCCAGGAACCCGCTGCCAAATAAACCCAGAATTCTCACCCGAATAAACCAGGATTCTCGGTTTTCATCCATTAAATAATAATATAATACACTTTTAGTATTCTTTATACTAGTAGTCGAAGCTGCTTTTTCTCTGTCAATTTGTCCTCGCTGTACTTTTTCTATCTGATTTTTTAACCTTAGTTTGCTTGGTACATGTAAATAGAATCGCACATATTTAAAGTTTTGGCTGTATGTCTTGTAATACAGTACATGGTTTGAACAGTCCGACAGGATCGATCTTCTGTGGTAGTTTTGCTTAATGATTTGAATTTGCCAGAGTGTTCGATTGTTTTGTACAAATGTAAACTGTTTTGAATTTTGATAGTTACTCAGTATTTTCTACAGAATTTGTCAATTATTATTTTTTAAAAGTAATACATTTTTTTCTCTGTAGATCCATCATCGGATATGGTGCCAAGTCTTTCGGAGCAATGTTACAAACAGTGTTATTTAACAGACGAAAATAATGCAAAATGTCTTCGTCATTTTCCGTCACGACACAACTTCAGTGCTGCCCTCTATTCAAATACCACGGAAAGTAACTCCTGCTGCTCCATTTGTACAAACTCATTCACAAGGATATGTGTGCATCTAATTGGTCTATACCTTGTTAGGACATTGTTATTATTTATTTCTATAGGTTTAACTTAATGGAATAGTTGTTTATTTAGGTGTTGTAGTGACTGAGTTGGGAGTGAATGCGCGTGCGTGAGCCTGTTTGTGTGAAGTGTTGCGTTTCTTATATAGTTTTGGTCTCACGTGATGATTGTGTGTGGGTTTTTTTTTGAGCAATAAGGCATTTACCGAGTTGCTCCTCAAACTGGCAAAGTTATTTTATTTTATTTTGTAGTATGTTTGTTCATCTGCACAATAACAATGTTTATACACACGTGCTGATTACAACAAATTATATTATTAATAGGAACAAGTGGCCTCTGTATATTGTTTGTTTTTATTTTTTTAATTTACTGTTTGCTGTCTATAATTTGTTTTATTATTTTTTTTATATTAAATCTTACGTTCGTTTGGCTTGTATATCAGCATCATTCTGGACAGAGTGCTTTTATTTTATTTATTTTTTTCATAATTTAGAGGGTCTAGATTCACAATACTGCTCATTTTCAATGGTAATATAAACTTAAGGCATAAATTCTACTTGTAATATAATTGTACATGCTTTGATAACAGATGGATGGAAAACAAAAGAACATTCTTCAAAATCAATATTTTTTGCTATACAGACAGTCTATATAGGGATTAAATTTGTGAAGATATGGTGCAATAATTATCTGTTGTCTGTCTGCATGTCTCTGTCCGCTCCAAGTATATTACATGTACAATGTTCATGATGCGGAATAGTTTTTCTTTCGGTTCGGCAAAAAACATAAAAAATATTAAAGGAAGCTCTAAACACTGAAAAAATGTTTTTGAACTTTGAGAAAATTGTATCATGTAAAGATTTACATATCAACTTTATACATGTATTTCATTTTCAAGATTAATTTCCTGACATATTTCTACAGAAAAAAAATGTTCAAATACAATGAAGCAATAGAGAACGAAAATCACTTTTGTTTACTAACATTGGGAAAATACATGCAAATAACTTTTTCAATTACTTTATCCTTGACTAATATGATGTTAAAAACACTCTATTTCAAATTGTGTTCATTATTTTTACTTCAAAGGGCAGATCACTCTTTCTACATAAAACTACCATAGAATTAGAACTCTTTGGTGAGCAGTGTTTAGAGCTCCCTTAAGGTACATTTTTTATTTAAGATAAATTAATGTTTCACTATCTAAATTAAAAGTCAAATCAACATTTTTATAAAGAACAAGCGAAACAAAAACTTGCAGAAAAAAGCGGGAAAAAATAGCACATTACTTTGCAAGACAGCGTCCCTGAACAATGTCAATACACAACTACCACATGAAATTAACTACCAGGGTATTTCATTTCCCGGGAGATATCCTAGCGAACTGTTAGTAGTCAACTAATTCGTTAATTCTTTCCACGAAATAGCGACTAATTTTGTACAACCGATTCCATTTTTTTTCCTTCTCTTGATATAAAACACGTTCATTGACAGAATGAAATGCACAATCCTCGGAGATCTTAAGTTTCAAAATGGTTTGGCTGAGCAGTTACTGAGAAAAATGAAATACATACAATACATATTTCATGTGTTTCAATGGAAACGGTGGTTATTTTGAAAATTTCATGACACATCATCAAGAGTTTGTGATTATCATTTCTGTGAAATTTCATTAAGATTCTTCCAGCCATATGCGAGTTCAACAAACTTTTAGGTCTAGCAAAAACATTATTTCGCCCGATTTCGTTCGGGACGACATAACTAAAGTAAAGAAAAATCTTTTTTTATGTATGGACAAAACCAAATATGATATGGTAATAAAAAAGATCTGTAGACTCTTAGGTTACTCTTAGACTACTTTCTATTGAAGAGCTTTCAAACTCAAGCAAAAGTCACACAGTCACTGAAAGACGTTCCAAAAACAACATCAAATGATATACTTAATAGGAAGTTAGGGTATTTGTACTTCCGGCTAGGTTTCAAAATCACAAGTGGGCATGCTCTGAGAGTTTCAACGGATCAAATGTTCCACAAAATTGATCTTAAACGTGTTGCCAAAACTTCTTTATACATAAATTCACATCAGCATTAAATACATTTTGAAAAGAAAAATGTATACACTGTATCTGGCAGACAGACACGGGTACATTTGAACAAAGGAAATATTGAACGTCTCTCAAAGAAACCAAAACTCCAAAATGCATGATTAATAAAGTATCTAGTTCATGTAAACGCTCTGATTTGCCTTGCGGTTTTCCTGTTAGTCTTTCAGGTTTAAATTTTGACCAACTATATCTGTTGAAAATTTCTTTGTATGTTTCGAATTGTTTTGTTTTGTTTTAATTTATAACTTATTTGATAAATGGATTTGCATTTCATTTATATTTATAAGTTTCTTGTACCACATTGTACCAGCAATAAACTTGACATTGAACGAGGATGGCATTTGTATACTGGTTATCTACCGTCATTTGTGTTTTAAAGCATTACAATCATATTTTTCATGACAGATGGTTAGATTTATTGATTAAAAGTAAAAAAAAAAAGTATTCATCTGGGAGTTTTTTTTTTCCTTTCAAATATAGAAATACTAAGGGGAGGAAAATAAGATATGCACAAGATTTATCGATAAACTAAGTATGAGACTTATATAAAATTAGATTTCTTACACTGGTATTATAGCAAAAACTCAAAGTACTTGTGTTATAAGTATCTCTTTAGATAAACTTTATGCGAATAAAATCACCCTGGTTAAATTACTCATGTAAATGAATGAAGTTTCATCGGACCTGTCCTCATCCACTTAATTATGTATGGACAGTCACAGGTGTGACCGGTCGACGGGGGCTACCTGCTCTTCCGAGGCACCCGATTCCATCTCTGGAATTTCAAGGGTCCTAGTTTTATGCCCTGTTCACAGATTTGTATTATCTGTAGTTCACTGTTCGTTATTTTCACCTTTTTCGCAGCATCATGGCTTTGTAATTTACGTATGTGCTTGTACCATTAGCAAAATAAAAATGGACTGTAGAAGGAGAGACGGATTGGTATGTGCAAAAGACTATTCGCAGTAAAAAAGAAAGGAACCGGTCTCCTTTCCCCGGCCTACTACGGGCTTGCACACAAAACTGTTAGTGTATTCTAGAGTGGAGGGGTGGGTGGGGGTGATTGTTAGCTGGAATTGTGCACCTCGGTGTGCCGATTGATCCAGAAAATTTTTGATAGGCTTAGGGTGCGGCTGGTTAGAAAAATACATCGGATGTATCCAAGGTTAGGTAGACCACAGAATTGTAAAGGCAACATCAAGAATTGGTCAAAGAGGAAAGAAAATTAGTTTACTAAGTTTATGACAATTCCAATGTACATGTATATCCAAATATTTACATTTCCAATGTCTTTGTCCGAGATAAAATTACAAATTGTAAAAATACTTTATTTCTACATAAATCTACTGGTTCATCGATAGGCACGGTTAAAAAAAAATCACGTGCGGGGCGGGACAAATAGAGACAGAAGCGGGGCTATTAGCACGGGAATTTGCAGAATCAGGAGCATGTAAATATAAGGAATAACTGTCAGATTTTTTGGATTCATGATGATGATCAATCGATTGGCTTGCGTGATAATTTTATGCTAAACGCCTTCGGCGTTTATGCAAATTATCACGCAAGCCACTCGATTGATCACATCATGAATCCAAAAAATCTGACAGTTATTCTTTAAATTTTTAAAAGGGGGGGGGGGGTAAATGTTATTGAAATAATGTAATTTATAAATTTGTAATCATTTTATAAACAGTTTTGATTGCATAAAACTTCAAGTAATTCGCTGTCAAAGTTTATTGATTATTTAACAGTGGGACGGACAACTTCGGAATGGACATTTTTCCGAACTTGCGCACCCTTTTCCTTTAAAGCTATTATCTTAGGATTTTTTTTAAATGGTGGGGTTTTTATATTTAAATTGATTTATGAAATAAAAAATCCAACATTTTTAGCTAGTTTTTGAGATATTAAGTGGCAAAGATAAAAATCCCATGGGGAAACATGTACTTAAAATTACCCCATAAAAAACCCCACAAAAACCCCATGGGGTTTAAAATTTTCCCCATGGGGAAAATTTACCCATACAATTCAGTGTGGGGTTTTTTTAACCCATGTGTTGCTTATATTGTAATGTGGGGTTTTTTTCCCCACATTTCTTCATCAAGGGGTTAAAAAACCCATATATCAATATTTATTTTCTCTAAGATAATTCCTAAAGACTGTCTTTTTAAATGCATCATTTTCTTCTTTGTCTTTCTATAATAGTTAGTAGTTATTACAAATATATATTTTCATTTATTTGTGTATCTATTCCTTAATTTCATGGGAACGTGTTTAAAAAAGTTTCATATGAAACAGTCAAGAAATTAGTTAACTCTTTTTAATCATTTCTAGCTGTTGGCAAATTTTCATCCCCACTCCCCTTACATCCACCACTCATAAGTTTGGATCATGGTCTTCCATTTCTAGTAAGCTAAATGTTTTATATCTAAACCTATACAGTTATATATCCTGAAATAAAATATAAAAATCCTTTGATCCACCACATATATTTAAAATTTTTAATGTCCACTCCCCTTGGATCCACCATTCATAAGTTTGGATCTTGTTCACACATGACTTTGAAGTCAATTAGACATAATTATTAAAGAAAAAGAAATTATCCCAAGATCCACCTACCAATATTTTGGATCCCAGTCACTCATTAAAAATATTCATATTGATTTAAAGTCTTGATATTTGAGGTTACATTTAAAATAAATAATCAATAAATATCTTCAAAATCTTGAATCCCATTCCCTTTGGATCCACCATCAATTTCTGGATCTTGATCATCTATTAAACTTGCCTCGGGTAAGACAGAAACCTAATATAAATTACATCCCTCCCCTAATATTCACCTCATAAAATACTGATCAGAGTCAATCATGCAACTGTACAATAAACAAAGTGTTTTACAGTTTAATTTAAAATGCTCACAACCTAATGTACTATATCAATATCAACAAATTGTACATACATGTGTCAAAAATAAACCAAATATTTTTTTGTCATGTTCCATTCAGGTATATACAGGCCTAAATAAAGTTATATAGGTCCCCATTCAACTTGCCAGGATTTATAGCATGCCAATAACTTACATTAGTTACATGTAAACAAAAGTCGCTTGTCTGTAATGACAGCAGAATGGACAGGTCAACTGGTGATGTTAGTGGAGTAATTCACACATGCTAAATCAAATAGATTGATTTAAAACTTGCATGAATTAATCCTTGTTACAATAGACTTCTACGATAGGGATAGCCGACAGCCGGACAGGTGATGTTTCTATTCTGTTCATAAAGCGCTCTTCTGACTTGGACCAAGTGTTGACTAAAACATGAACAACACAGAGAAATCTTAAATCGGAATCCAAAGTTTTTTTTTTTCTGGTACCTTTTTTTTTATTAAGAATAATGACAATTATTTAGTACGTTTTTTACTTATAATATGATACTTGCGAAATCGTTCTCTGTGGTTTTTTTTTTTTTTTTTTTTTTTTTTTTTTTTTTTTTGCCTGATTAGCTAAATAAAACGCAATGAAAGCTACATGCTGAAATGTTATAAGTGGAAAACCTGGGCGGTCTTGCA